TTCTCCAGCATCTTGATTTGAATTACAGCTTCTCATATACCTATGGACATCAGCACGATGCTTCCGAGGAAATACTGTCAATTATCAATGCATTTAAATCTGAGGGCCAATGGAATTTCTTTGAAATATCGTATTCAGATAATTTCACGTCTTGTCTGTGTAATGTGTCATGGAGAAGAACTGAAACTACTTCTGCGAAATTAATTTGTGAGAGAGTATCCTTAACTCTTTTGACATCTGCCGTGGTAAATACTTTTTGTCTATTCTATTTTTTTTTTCTGTTGTATTCCACTGAGCACTTAAATGTCATAATTTTATTTTTGCAGCCGTTTACTATCAGCTCATCTTCAGTGTTTGGCGTCTCTCAAATTTCCCTTGACGTTTGCAATAAATCTGTTTTGAGCATAGCTGATTCCCTCTTTGCAGAGCTTTACAAATCATACAAACAGGAATCTTGGACACATGTCAACGGGCGCTCTGTCAAGTGGATTTCAGAGGTTCCATACTCATATGGAAGCGTTCGCCACCCGCCCAACAACTCTTGGTCACCACAGTTGTTGTTGTTAAAGACCTTGTTGGAGAAAGAACTCAAAGTTTCCTTCAAGAGTGTCCTCATCAACATTTATTGTTCCCTCGAAGAGGTAATATCACAAAATACCGTCATAACAATTAGATAACATAGAAAATGTACTTTGCCTATCAGTATTTTTAGGGAGTTGGATTTCACGCTGACAACGAACGTGGTATTCCTGATTATCCAACCATTGCCAGCGTATCCCTTGGAGCCACCCGACGCTTTGCAATGAAAAGAAACGGGACCACGCGCTCTGAAGTTTCTGTTTTGTTGCCACATGGTAGCGTTTTTACCATGCTCGGAGCTTGCCAGAAAGACTGGAAGCACAGCATCTTGAGAGGATCCACTGCACCCGATGGATCGTTTGAGAAATGGAATGGCGTCCGTTTAAATTTGACGTTCCGTAATCAGTTTGACGCTGAACGTTGAAGTTTTATGTCATTTTTATTACTTGCCGGTTTTTGAAGGTTGAATTTGAACTTGATTTCGTGGAATACTTAACTGATATCTTTACCTGATTGAAGTTTTGTTCATGAATACCAACATTGGTACATTTTTCAGATCTGTGTCATGTCTTTGCAAGTATTTTTTTTGTTTTTTGGATTTGTTTTTCGGATTGTTTTACTGCTACATACTGTCAATTCTGAGACTGCTTCACAATTTCTCAATATAATAAGACTAATAGCTTTTTTTCATTTTAGCTCTTTCGTGTAAGTATATGTGTAAGTACGATTTTTAGTTATTCCGGAGACCCATATGAGTCTACATGCCAATTTATACGATTGGCCGATTGCAACGACAGGAGGCGTTTTGCTACACATATAAACACAATCTTTTGTATTTTATTATAGCTATAGAAATTGATCTACAATGCGTAAGTACGACATTTAGTTCTACGATTGTTATTTCAGGTCCTTTGTCAATATTTCAGGCTCTTTGTCAATATAGCAAAATTTTGGTGTATATATGTGTTAGTAAGATTTTTAGTTCTACAACGTTTATTCAGGCTCTTTGTCGATATAGCAAAATATTGGTGTATACATGTGTTAGTACGATTTTAGCTCTAGAATTGTTATTTCAGGCTCTTCGTCATTATAGCAATATTTTAGCGTATACATGTGTTAGTACCATTTTTAGTTCTCGAACTGTTATTTTATGATCTATGTCAATATATCAAAATTTTAGTGTATACATGTGTTATTACGATTTTTAGTTCTCGAACTGTTATTTCATGATCTTTGTCAATATATCAAAATTTTATTGTATACATGTGTTAGTACCATTTTTAGTTCTCGAACTGTTATTCCATGATCTTTGTCAATATAGCAAAATTTTGGTGTATACATGTGTTAGTACGATTTTTAGCTCTAGAACTGTTATTCCATGATCTTTGTCAATATAGCAAAATTTTGGTGTATACATGTGTTCGTACGATTTTTAGCTCACGAACTGTTATTTCAGGCCCTTTGTCAGTATAGTAAAATTTTGGTGTATACATGTGTTAGTACGATTTTTAGTTCTAGAAGTGTTATTTTATGATCTTCGTTGATATATCAAAAATTTAACCTATACATGTGTTAGTACGATTTTTAGTTCTAGAACTGTTATTTCAGGCTCTTTCTCGATATAGCAAAATTTTGGTGTATACATGTATTAGTACGATTTTTTGTTCTAGAACTGTTATTCTTCAATTATTAGTTGTTCAAGTTGTTTGGTTTTTGCTTCAGTTTCTATGCCTTCGGTGTATTGCGCGTAGCGCCTATGTTCAAGTATAGCAGTGATCAGGCATCGAAGTGCGTTGTTTGTAACAAAGTGTTTAACATCAAAATCAGCCATCATAATACTGTGTATCGAGCCCAAGATGCAACTAATTCTCTGCCCGTTGATGATGGTAGCTCAAGAGAGAAACGCTGAAAATGTGATAAAGAGACAGTATCGCAGCAATGTTCCTTTTGCGTGGTGCTCTTTTAAATCATTGCAACCACAAGAAAAGTAACAAACCTGTATTGACAAAGCAAGCGCAAAGTTTTAGCATTGCTACTCTACTTTGTGGCTCATAAAGCCAAGCAGTGGTAAGCTTCATTAAGCTTGTGTCGTATAATGAACTCTCTTTTTTCCAACCCAAGTCGCAAAAATTAATGCGGCGCAAATATTGTTACGAGAAAAAGGTGTTTTTTTTTAAAGTGTTCATTTTGATCAACAACCAGCTGTTAAGTACAGCCAATTCCAATGATATTAACAAAGACTATGATATTAAAAAAAGCGCTTTAGCTTCAAGGTATCATGGATCTGTAGCGTAGAGGTAAGGAAGGAGAACATCAGCAAAATAAGAGGGTTCGAACCTTGGGCAGTTTTAGATATTTTTTGAACTTTTTCGTATACTAGTTCAAATGTGTCAGCTCTTTAAACTGAGGCATGTTAGTTGCTATTTTTTTTTCAAATTGACTGGTACTGTTAATGCGTCATGATTGGCCTGCGTCACTTTGCAACTATGTAGACTCATAATTGGGGTGCGTCACTTAAGAAGTTTTGTAGACTCGAAGTTATACTCATTCAGTTTTTCTCAGTAGCGCATATTTTTGCTTGTGTTTGTTTTTCCATAAACCAAAAAATTTGATTTTTTTTTCTAAATTTAGCTTCTGAATTTTTTTGTTGTGTTTGCAACTAAACACAAGTGAAAAAGACCTTGGTTACTCAAAGCACCAAAGGTTGGACGGTCTTTGCATTTACAATGCAAAGAAAACGACCTGAGTTCGGCTGTCTTTCACAATTGATATAACAAAAGTAACAAACTTTTATTTTTGGCAAAATTTTTTAATGGTGATTATTTTAAACTTTCGAATTTTCAAATTATCAGACATTGATCAAGGCATATATAAACACCCCATACAAAGGAAATAGGAATTTTCAGCGTTTTTAAAGAAAATAAAAGCCAATTTTATTGTATCCAGGACTACGTTATTCACAAAAAAAATTAAACTTTACGTGCAAAAAAAATTTTCGATAAAGGTTTGTTTGCGTACAAAATTCGATTTGCGGCTGAAAAAAAAAACAAAAAAATTATGGGCCAAATTTTCAAAATTACTTGGAAAACTTTTTGTGTCGCCATCAAAAAAAACGCCAGTCATACAATTTCCATATATGGGAATTGTATGATAAGCATTTTTTTCAAAAAACGAAAGCCTCGGTTTTTTTTACCAGACTGTTCTATTAGAATCAAACAGCCACAGAAATAAGTTTATATCTTTTTTCAACCAGTTTTAGAAATTGTATGAAAACTGTATGACAAGCATTTTTCCACACACTTGATGTATGGAATTGTATGATAACCATTTTCGGTGTATGAAGGTCAACCCGGGTGATGATTTTCGGCACCGTTGATCTATAATTTTTTTTGGGCCTCTTGTACATCGGCCTCTCTTGAACGCCCCTCTAAAGGGCACAACAGTGCCGAAAACAATTTTATTGTTCAACAGCGCCAAAAATTGGGTCTAGGACAACAGGCCGACGGGACATCAAGCCGAAGGGTTTTGAGGCCGAAACTTGAACTTTACAAGCACCTCAAAACAATATTTTTTCATCTGTAAAACGTTGTTTTTCAAAAATTTAGGCAAGTTTAGTCCATCAAATGCGTTATTCATGACAATGCACCACTTGGGATTGGCATCCATTAATATCATTAGCCGGTTTTTGAAATGCATAAATTATAAACATGAAAAACGCCTTCAACCGTGTTTTATGTTTCAACTTTCCTTAACATCATATGGAGGATTGAATTTAATGAAAATGCCAATAACTAGTGAAGAAAGATCCTGAAAATTCCGAAATTTTTCAATAAAATTTTCAAATTAATCATATTTCACAAGTTTATAAGAAAATATTCGGCTTGAAGTCCCTAATTTTACGATTCGGCTTGAAGTCCCGTCGGCTTGATTCCGGAACCCCCAAAAATCATCAATTTTCGGCACTGTTGAACATTTTTTCATTTTCGGCACTGTTGTACTTCGGCACAGTTGTACTGTCCCGAGCTGTTTGATGACAAAATCGGTCGAAATCTCAGTGCCGGCAAATGCTGCCTTCTGGGGATTGATTTTGAAACATTGTTATTATCAAGCAGATGTCTCATGTCTAGATTATCATCCCAGTCTTCGTAAAGTTTCCAACGTGAATTGATTGTTGGGTTCATTGCCACTTAACAAAACTTTAAGTGAATACAATTAGATAGATGAAAAATGACTCCATGACAATAGATCACACAAAAACTTGAAGAGTAAAATGGATGTAAAAAATAAGATTGAAAATAAGATGTTGAGACTCATTTCAAATTCGCTTCAAATAGTATCTTTTAAAAGAGCATGTGAGTTGGTGTTAGATAATTAGGACGACAGGCTATCAAGATGACAAGACATTAAGACGACAAATTATATGTAAAATGAGCAGTTCGAATTTAAGCGGTTTAAAATTCTCAGAATTAGAATAAGGAGAATTGTGTGTAGCATCGTCTTAAAGTCGTACCATCACAAACGATTGTCGTCCTAACGGCTGTCGTTTTTTTTGCCGGTCACCATGTGAATTCATATGTTAGTTAAATATATCAGGCGTATATGACCCGTTCGTCACTCTGAAGATGAGCCAATCTTCTCTGCTGCCATTTCTTCTTCTGCTTCCTGTGGAAATTGAGACAGAATAGATTCAATGGGTGGATAAAAGAGATCACTGCCAGCAGCACCAGGAACAGATGTACCTATAAAACACTTTCGTTTGTGCTCGAGGCGGTTGAAAACAGACCCTCAGGTTTAATAGCGTCCTCCCAATCTTTTTTGTCAATCGATGATTTCGCTTATTTTTGTTTTATATAAAATACCATTAGTTTAGATTGGAAACATTTCATTATTATCATTAACCTATACTGCAACAAGAAATAGCGTATCAGAAAAAAGAACCATGATTATTTATTTTTCAAAACATCCAAAAGAATTTGAAACAGGTTTTACTTGAAAAATGGAACTGACATTTTTGAAAATTCAAGGAGTAGTCAAGAAAAAAATAATTTTGTTTTTGTTGTGATTCGTATCTTATTTTGCATCTATTGTAAACCTTACTTATCCGAATTAGATAACAGGTCACTCTCATATGACCTTCACTTGCCATTCTCTCCGGAGGAGAGAATGATCTCTCACTTTTTTAATGTTTTAACTTCAGACTAATTCACTTTAATTCCTGTATTCTTTTCAATAGTTTTAAATTAGAATTAGCTACAACAAAGTAACTTTTTATCATGGCGCAGTCAAATAACGAATCTAACGTGAGAGGAATACCTTCATTCAAAACCATACTGTAGATCCCCCCATTCCCTGGGAAGTTTGGAGCGATCTGTTTCACTTAGCTATAATCGCTAAAGAAAATATAGACATCGAAAACTTACTAAATCCTTCGGAAAGACATCATCCTCAACCTCCCAAGTTGGAAAATCCGATGGACGGTGAAACAGATAACCAAAGACAGTCGAGAATGGACCGAAACGCCCAAGAAAAAAGACGCTACGATGAAGAGGAATCAGCCTCCATTAAATCTGAAACCAAGAAATTCAATGGAATGCGACTAGAAGAAGCAGATAAAAAACTACGATCTGTCTTGTACCTCGCATTGGGAAACGAGGGAAAAAGGATTTTCGGACAAAAACTTACAAAGGTGAAAATCTTGCAAACTTCTTTTAAAGAACTTTGGGACTTCCTAGCAATCGCCTTCGTAAGAAAGACAAACGTCACATTCGAACGACACAAACTGTTAAACTGAAAACAACCGTATAGAGAATCTTTAGAACAATTTTGGGGTGCCTTAGCAGAAATGGCTAAAATGTGCGACATAGCCGCAGGAGAAGAAGAGTGGATTAGAGATAATTTCATAAATAACATGAAAAACTACGATATCCAAAGGAACAAAGGAAACTTTTAACAGAAACACTTCCCCCACGAGAAGCACTAAACGTAGCACTCATCGATGAAGAGGGATTTTTAAATCACCTAAAACTTACAAACAACTTTAAATCCGACGGATCATCCGTACTTAAACCACACAGCCATTTCAACGTAAGAAGAGAGCCAACTCTCAATACAGAAAAAAGCAACACCTGTATGAAAAAAGGTCCCAAAAGGTCACCTAGCAGTTTGCGCAGCAAAGGACACTACCTGTACATCTTGTAAATATAAAGGTCACTTTACCAGACTTTGTAGATCTCGTCGTAAAAATGTAAACATTGTAAATAATCAAATTGTAGATAATACAGATTTTAATCCGTCGGATATTCCGGATGTAAATACAGGTCATGTAGATAGAGAATGTTGTGGCGTCATAAACGCACGGCCGGAATCTGGACAAAACGAAAACGACGATTATTCTGTATTAAATGTAACTACGATTTTTGACGACGACGGAAAAGAATTGAAGAAATTATTAAATTTTGACATCGGAAAAGAAAATCAAGCATTTCTAAATATACAAGTGGATTCAGCTAGCCCGGTCACTTTCCTCAAGAAAAACGTTTTACACGATTTGAAACTACGAGACCTCTACTTGAAAATCTATCCGGTGGACAAAGCAACCAAGTACTTTTACTGTGGATTCACTGACAACGCTATAAATATTTCTGGAAAGGTTATAATTCCGATCTTCTCAAACGGTTGGTCACAAAACGCTTGTCATTTCTTCTTGACCGAGGGACACGAGAAAAACATCCTAGGAAATGACAATCTGCCGAAAGTGGGGATAGAAGTCTCACAGAAGTACTTCCCGCATTTCCAGACTCGCAAGCAGTGTAAGTCAAAAAATTCTATCTCTCCATCAGACAAAGATAGGGAAATTCTAAACATATCAAAAACTTTTAAAAACTTATTCATTCGGATTGGAAAAATAAAAAACCAGATGAAAATCACTCATTTTCACGAACCCCTAAAACCAATCCAACTAAAAGGAAGACGAGTCTCCCTCCACTTACTGGATTCTGTTTAGATTTAGACAAAACTCAACAGACTAAAAGACGAGGGACATAATAAAAAACTAGAAAACTGTGTCGAAGATCGTTTTATCAGTCCAATACTCATTACTTGCAAAAAAGACAAATCTATCAAGTTAGCTCTGGATTCAAAGTTCGTAAATAAACAAATCAATCTACAGGAACAAATACCAAATGCCGAATATCCACAAACTGATAGACAATGTCGCGGCGCAAATTGCAAGTGATTCCGTTGGAGAAGTGTGGTTTACTAGTTTAGACATAAAAATGCATACAGACAACTTGCATTAGATAAATTTACCAGCGATCAAAGTAATTTCAGTATCGTCGGTGATGATATTACGGGTACATACCAATTTGTAACCGGCGTTTACTGACAAGGTGATATACCTAACGAATTTCAAAGAGTAATGGATTCAACGTTAGATTCTATCCCATTTAATAATTGTTACCCAGACGACATTTTAATTGCTTTCAAAGGAAGCTTTTTAGACCACAAGAACATTGTATTAAAAATTTTATCCACATTGGACAAATAATACTTCGCGGTCAAATGGTCAAAATGCAAATTCTTTCAAAAAGAAATCGAATGGCTGGGATCTCGAAAACAGGAATCATACCTATATTTGATAAATCGAAAGCAATAAAGGACTTACCTATTCCAAGGAATTTGGAAGAACTAAGATCATTTTTCGGATCTATGTTTCAGTACCTCAAGTTTTTCCCAAATTTAGCTTCCCTAGGAAGCTCACTTCGACCGCTACTTGATAAGAAATCGATTTTCCAATAGAACGACGACCATACGAAAGCGTTTGAGAAAATTAAACAAGAAATTGAAAATCTCAAAGAGAATACCCATGTCGACGTAAAACGCAACACTAGAGTAAAAACGGACGCATCACACGATGGTTTGGGAGCCTCCCTCGAAGAACTCCACGGGAAAGACTGGAAAACGATTTCTTTCGCCTCTCGTTTTTTAAACTCGCACGAGTCAAAACATTCTACAAATGAGCTCGAATTGTTAGGAGTCGTATGGGCCGTCGAACATTATAAAATTTACCTTTATGGATTGGAATTTGAAATAATCACTGACCACAAAGCTTTACTTTCTGCCCTCTCACCAAATCACGGAAAAAAAACATATCATAGTAGATTAACAAGATAGGTGGACAGATTTTTACCTTTTAATTTTACAATCATACATCTAGCAGGAAAGGATATGGGTTTCCCCGATCTTATTTCTAGGGTTCCATCTGGAAAAGCCCTCCCAATATCTCATTACGACGACGAATATATAAGATAAACAAATCAATTAATCCGTCGGAGAAACAAATAATTACCTGCTCAGCCATTGGTTCAAATCTGTAAAATTCTGATTACGCCAAATTACGTAATTACTTAATAGCGTCAGTACTAAAACTAATCAACTCGACTTTCCCAATTTGTTCATCTAAACACAATAGAACGGAATTTTGTACTTCAAATTGTATTCCAAAGGATTATTCAAACACAAACCCAATAATTATTTCTATGCCGCATTTTTTTACTTCTTAGTTCTTAATTGAAGATTGATTAACTCGACTGTAGATAAAAAAAATTGTAGATATCGTTAAAATGAATCATAAGAATATTGTAATTAATCCCCCTACTTCCGGTATTTAGTAGATTTAGATCTTCCTTCTTTTACCAGACCACGCTACTCTCGTCAAAAAATACCGAGAAAACTTGAAGTTGCCCGATCGTTCCTTGGACTTGAACATTCTCCTTAATGCCAAGCTGGTAGCTCTTTTTACTGAAGCTGATCCCATGTTGAACCCGATAGTCAAGGCACTTCAAAACAAAGTAGAGAAGATAAATGCCAATTCCCCTTACTTCAAACACTTCACCAGAGATTTACACGAATACACGAACGGGCGGTAAACTAGTTATACCTTTTACCCTGAGAAATGCTATGATGAAGACATGACACCCATCCAGGTAATTCGGAATGAAGTATTTGGCCCAATACATCTGGTGGCCCCATATTAACAGGCAAACTTATTTCATGGCATAAACTGCTCAGAAAGCACATCGGCGCGTAAGAATTTGAAAACTGTTATCCCAAATTCACAAACTAGTGAACTTCCTCCCTTATTAGAACCAAACGAAGAACTTAACTTAGACTTCGCCGGACCTTTGGATTCCTATTGGGGGTCAGATTTTCCAAATTTCTGTCGGCAAAAATTACTTCATCAACTTCTGCAAAAACAGTCATCGAATTTCTACAGGATTACATATTTTTACATGGTATACCGTATTCAATAAGGGTAGACCACGCGACTTGCTTTAAAAGCCATAATTTTAAATCATTCTGTGATTCGAAAAATATCAAAATAAAATTTTGTACAGTAGGTGACCATCGTTCCAACGGATTAGTCGAAAAATTGATACCCACTGTAAAAATTAAAATACTTGCTATATGACAAGAACATCAAAAGTGTACACTTCAAAACGCGGTTTCAAAAACTATCTGGAACTTACGATCATCATACCAATCTAAAATCAAATGTTCTCCATTTGAAATTCATTATAACAGAAAACCAAATACAATTTGGAAACAATTAGTTTCTGGTAAACCTTCCATTGGAATTTTAGACAGAGGGAAGTCCATCTTATATAAAGAACGGGCAGACAACTGGAACTCGGACGATAGACTCGAAGATGGATACAAGGACGACTTGGTAGCGAAAAAG